CGCTAGCCACTGGTGTGGCGGGACCCTCCCGCCTGTCACTCAAAGTGTCCACGCCCTTAATATAATTATTAAGGGTGTAATTATTAATATAATTATTTTTATACATCAGAGTATTTGATTAAATGAGGAATAACCAACAGATTAGTTGATTATTAAAATAGTTGTTAGTTGCAGCCCTACTTGAGTGTTGACTTAAAGGCTAGGTTCAGGGTGATTCAGGTTGGTCTTTAAAACAATACTGACGTGCACATGTATGTGAGAATAGCTCTTTGTCATTGTAACTTCTCCATTTTCAGTTTTCATTTCTGACATTTCTGTTGAATACATTACTTTCTGCCATAACTTTTACAATTATCATTAATTATTATATATGGAATGAAAACTTGAAATGCCATTTGTTAATTTAAACAGTGACAGAAATGGTTGTGGAAGGTTTTTTTTGTGGAATATGGAGGGTTGTGGCTCTGTTCCACTGACATACAGAAGTTGTTTTTTTTTCCCCACTGTGTGAGACATCAGTTTAAGAAGGAGAGCAGAGCTGCTAGATCAGATGGAAAGTCGCAGAGAGCAGATTAAGAGCTTGAGAAAGCAGCAGGTGAAGGACTCTGAGGCTGCTCGCCAAAGGAATGCCATGCTGCTGCAGGTAAGGAGGGACTGAGGGGCTATTTAGGGTCATAGTCCTAAATAGCCATGATATTATTGATTGTACTGAAGCCTATGGTCCACCCACACAGCTGTTTTCACTTTGGCTGGGTGGTGCTCTTAGGTGTGTACAGATTGGTTAACTGACACCTCCTTGATCTCCCTCTGAAATCATTAGTAAATTAGTCATTTAGTCAATTGAAAAAGAATCAGTAACTCTTCTGATTATCAGTGAAGTCATTTTAAGCAAAAATCTACCAACATTTGGTTTAAGCTTCTAAATGGAAATATATCACTAGGGTCCTAGAATATTAATTTGTGTATTCTCACTATTTTTGATATTTTATTGACAAGACGCTCAAAAATAAATTAAAAAATCAGCTTAAGTCTTCAGACAGGTTTTCAAGGAAAGTGATCTTTGAAGGTAAAGGCCATAAGAAGTGCAGCCGCATTTGCTGCCAGTACATATCATTTAAAATAAAATTCTAAACATTTAGATAAATAATGAAATTAACCAAACTGTATGGCAGTGTTTGTACAGAAAGGAGTGTTTAAATAAGAGCATCTGCTCTCTTTTACTGCAGGATTTGCAGAAGATTGAGGATGATCTCAGAGGAAGATGGCTACCACACCCAAACCTCCTGGCTTTGGAGGTAACAGGTTTTTTGATGTAGAACTGTGTGAAGATTCTAACAACATCCTTCATGACAAGTTTACATTTCAGGTCATTTTTGCTACTACTTTGTAAACACTTGTTTTCAGTTGTTGGAGGTGGAGCATGCTCCTCCCTTTTTTAAGTAGAGATGCACCAGTTGCATTTTTCTTGGCAATTTCTGATTTTTTTTTTTTATTTTATTTTATTTTTTTTTTATTTTTTTTTTTTGTCTGACCTGACCATTCTGATTTTGGCCAATTCCGGTTTTTTCTTTCTTTTTATTTTGAGTTATTTAACATTACTCATTGCCTTTGAAAACAATCTTTTTGAAGAGAAAACTTTTTTTTTTTACAGTGGATTTTCTTGAACTTTAAATGTAATTAAATTGAAAAACAAATGGTTTCATACCTACATCATAGAAAATTACATTTATTTTTAGAGGTGCAAACTAGTGAGGGTCCAAAAACGTGACATTTTTCTCACCTAAAACCAAAGAAAATAAGCCATGCAGGGCACATAGGCTTTATAGATTATAATTATCTCATGACATGGCAAGATATTGCGAGAACAAATTATTAAAATGAGGGCAGGGCTCTACACTAGCATTTATCTTTCAGGGCACTGGTGTCTCTAAATAGGAATAGTTAGAGCCAACCTGAACTGAATTGAATTAGCTTTTTTGCCTTCAGCCCTTGTACTGAACTCGTTTATGTTTGCTGTTCAACGTATGAACATTATTATAATTATAATTAAAACCAAATATTATATAGGTTGAGAAGGGGGCTTTGAACTTAACTCACCTTCACAGTCTGGCCTTTATTTCCAGTCTAGAGGATTACAATTTAAAGTAATGGTCCTCTCTAAAGAATTCTGAAATCCTTTCATTTCAGGTACATTTTGGTCATGTCCAGTTCGCCTTTCAGATAGGACTGAATAAACTTCAAGATGTAGTCTGATGTGTGTCTTGTAGTTTTGTCACCCAACAGTAAAGTTTATTTAGAGTGTTTCTTCCTTTCAGACAAGATATTGGGCATCTGTGGAAGAGTCCATCCCAGCCTGGGAGCACTTCCTCCTGGGTAAAGGTCCACACCCGACTGATGGTCCAGAAGAGAGACCCATGAGAGCCAAACAGAAACCCGGCACAGCCAAAGACCATGGCCTACCTCCTCGGCCAAAACCCAAGACTGCTAGATAGGTGAGAGGCAATGCTGATGGTGCTGCTGTAGCCTCAGAGGAGCCTTTGTTTGTCACATGATGCAGAAAAGTGGAGGTCAGTGATTCTCCCTTCAAACTAATTGAGCACTGACAATAGTGATGTGGGTAGAACCCACACCTGTGGTTTATCTGAATGGATCAACACACTGCTGCTGAACATCTTTCACAAACCTCATGACCACAGTTGGATACTGGTTGGAGGCTGCCCAGCTTTGGTGAACTGGTCTTTAAGTTAATTCAGTGAATGTTTGAGTGTTATTTAACTGAAGGGAGAAAGATTAATAGATGATCATACAGGCCTACTACCACTAGAGGGAGCCAGTGTTATAGCAAAAAAAAAATCAATGTGACATGTTAAACCTTTGATTGAAATATTTCCACAGTGTGTTTGTTACAGTATATTATTTGTATTCTTATTTATAGATTACAAGCTATGTTTGTCTCTCATTATGACTGGTTATGTTTAGTTCAATTTATTGTATGCCATTCTTTTAAAAATATTGCACTGACAGCACTGAAATACTGTAATCTTATAGTTCACAAATAAACCTGTCAAACAAAGCTTTTTATTGTAATTATTCTGCATTCTTAGTGTGTTTTGGAGGTTGTGGAGGAGACAGTTAGGTGAGTGTGTAGATGTGCTATGTCTGTTGAAAACCCATATATCTAGTTTTACTAACCAGACTTGTCCTCTGCCCAAAAGCAACTTGGGACTATGCTTAACTTCTTTCCATCTTTTAAGAACAGTCAGGGCTACAAGCATGATAATCAAACTGCACTGCTGTTTTGTTTTACTTTATTATTCATCACATGGATATATGGAAAAAATAAAATGTTGATGTTAGCAGTGATGCAGAGGTCTACGACCAGACTACTCAGTAATGTGTGTGGAACTTCACCTTTTAACCAGTATTGTCTCTAACAGAGTTTAAAAAAACTGAGGTAGTGAAAATTGGCACTGGGGCAGTATAACTGATATTGTCATATGAATCAAGATATTTTCTGATATTGCAGCACAATGGCAAATATCTGCAAACAATCAGTATGATATTTAAAGCAGTAATATCTGACAGTATCAGCATGTTATCACAATATAATTCCACTGAAGGTCTATTGTCAAATTTTATTTCATGTTAAGGTTTCTTGTCTAGCTCAATGTTTTTGAAAAGTTCTCTTTGTATGTATTGTCAGTCTTAATAGTCAGCATAAATATAATTTTGGTATTGATCTAAATCAGGTGTTGCTCTGATCCAAGTCCTCAGGATTTGTGGCATTGCACTGCAGTGTTTTTGGAGGCCTCAGCTTTGTAAGCTACTATAAATGAGCATATGCAATATGAGTCTTTCCATTCATGGAGTTACAGAGAGTCACAACAACACATCCAACATATTATGACACTGTTGTAGTTGAAGTTGTGTGTGGAACATGAACTGCAGTCTCAGTGAAGTAATGAGAGGAGTGTCCCACCAATGTGTCACCAGAGGTGAAAATCATGGGACCTGCTTCTTCACTGTTGGGCTGGATGAAGACCCCATACCCTCCTCTCGTTGCCTCCTCTGTTTACCCCACCAGAGATGGCACACTGTTCCTCCTTTTTAACCCCTAATTGTTGGTGATCAGACTTGCACTGCATTGACACAGAGTGGCAGCTTGACAAATACAATCATCTGGACAACCAGAGTTGAAGTGGACAGTGGTTGGCAGCTGCCCTGGCTCCTCAGCTGGGGCCCCAGTGCTGAAGGCCCTCAGGGGGTCAACTTGCCACTGGCCAACACTGACTGTTTAACTGGACCATTCTAGACTGATAGGGGTTGGGTGGTGGGATGCTGGTTTGGTTTAGGAGCAGGACGGGGTGCTATGAGGTCAAGGGCAGGATTTTAAGGAATAAAGGGGTGGGGGAGGTACTAGGACTATGTGTCCAATCATGGGTGACAAGATTGTTTGGTGGGTAGGTGAAAGGGGAATGATGATGTGATGTAGAAAATTATATAAAGGGTTTTGAAAAGCACTATCTGGAGCCCTTCCAAATGACTAGCCCTGTATTATGTGTTCTAATGGCTGAGGCCCCGGGGTGCTGGAGGCTGAGTTACTGCTGTTGTCAGTGACCAGACCTCGATTCACCCTGCCAGCTACCAACAACAATAATCACCCCTCAGACAGCAGCCCAGCTCTCCTCCAGCCTTCCTCAACCTCTGGTAGCATGACATGAATCTGGATCCGTAAGATTATGTAATGTGGTTCGGCTATTGAGAGCCCTGACAGATAATTAGCTGAACCCAAAGCTGTACAAATGGTTAAGTGTCGACTCCAGTTGATTGGATAATGAGTAACTGCACGCTGTATTTCATTCAGTGATATATTGTAGGGGTGTAGCAAGGGCAAGTGAGGGGGGGTAGTTTGGCGTGCTGCGTTTTTGCAGGCTGTTATTTTCACACTTTGAGTTTGTTGCATTTGTTTGGATGTCGAACATGGAGAGATCACATATTTGTATCAACTGCTGATGCAATTTAAATTGCAAATGACATTTTATTGAAGACATTTTTTTCATTTTCTCTGTTTCAGTTCAGACTTCACAGATCAGCTTGGCTACTAAAGCTGTGGCATGTGACACTGTTTGAGGCCTCCCTTTGACCCTGCGCAAGCGTCGAAGTCCCAAATCTCTGCTGATCATGGCATGTCACCTCTACTTAAGGGTGCAGATTGCCAGTTGGTCTTTTTCTTCACAAAGGCCCTGACCGTTGTCATGTTGCTTCACATTAAAATACTTCATGACATACACTAACAGGAACCAACACTAGCCTTAAGATGGCACAGCTCCCAGTGTAACATTTCCTCTTTAACAACCCCCTCTTCACTTGAGTCATTGTAATGACATTCTCTGCCCTTCTATACCTACCTCCAACAGAAAATGCTTTACTTATTGAATGAATTATCTAAATTTATGCACTTAACCCCAAGTAGTTTTATGGCGTTAACATGAACATTCTTCCTCAGTTGAACATGACTATGCCTCAAAGTATTTGGACAGCTTTACTTTTTGCATACCTTGCATTGTAAATGTAATTTTGAAATAAATAATGTCATTGCTGCACCTACACTCAGTATCCCATAATAATGAGTGATAAATGATAAAAATTTTGCAGCCTTAATTAAAATCAAACTGAAATGTCACATTTACAAGTGTTCAGAAACCTTTATAACACCATATAACACCAAACTGTGGTCAGGTGCAATTTAGAAAGGCACAGAGCTTCAGCACGGAGTAAGTGCATCAAAAACTGGTACGAGACTAATCAGTGAAGCTCTGGCTCTGCAGTGCCAACGGGGGAAACGGGTGAATGGCTTGGCCCCCCCTTCAGTGAACAGAAAAGCGGTGAGTCCTTAGTAGAGACCAAGTGGACTGCAAGATATTGAGCAAGGACATTTTGTAGTTGCATAAAGGTTTCTGAATGTGCTGGTGGTTTGGGGCATCACCAATACACCTTGGTCCTGTATTGATTTAACACCCCCCTTTTCCCCACATTCATCTCACCTCAAATTTCTTAGGTTTAATTTTATTTTTCTTTAATATGTACTGAATAGCAGTCTGCATAGTGTTGGATACACCCATACCACACACAAGTTAATAATTTAATTATCCCTTTGTCTCTTTCGTTAATGTCTGTTTTCTCATCTTCTGTGTTGTGTCCTTTGTCCTGTACATGTGTTATTTCATGTTGTAATTAAAAAAAAAAAAGTTTCTTATTTTTGCAGGTGAAAGGAGAGGTGTGGAGACCTGGGGCCCAGAGGCAGTGGTGGAGCTGCAGGTAAGATGGTGGTCATTTCAGAAGATGGTGGACCATCCAGGGGATCAGGTAAGAGGGGAGGACAACCTGGCACAGGGGAATAACCACCCAGGTAGCATCAAACAGGGCTGGAGACTTAAGCAGATGAGCAACTAAGTACACAATGGAGACAATAAGACATGCAGCTGGGAGCTGGTATCAGTAGCCAGGAGGAGACCAAAACTCCTCTCAAATGGCTGAAGCAGAGACAAAAGCAGATGAAACAAAAACACAGAAAAATACACTAGGCTCAGTAGAAGAAAACAAAGATATATCACTGCATAGATGGTCCCAACAAAAACAGACAGTTTAGACACTTGCCACAGAGAAACAAAATCACAGCTCACAAAACTGGCTGGAGAGAAACGATACACCAATCTATGCTAACAGGTCCAAGGGGCTAGGCTGAAGAGAGGTTGCAGACTGAAACAGATAGGGCTCATGGACTCAGGAACAGGCTTAGAGAAATGCAACAGGGTCTGCTCAGAAGCAAGACAATCTGGCAACCGATTGCAATGCCAGATCCATTTAAGTAGACTGGAGATAATGAGCCACAGGTGATGATGATGAGCCTAATGCTGCAACCAGTGAACAAACTAAAAACGCAGAGAGCATGGCCTGGAGGAAACAAAAAGTGGCCACTCTGCTATCTTGTAAGGAGTAAGATACACAAAGGAGATGATAGCCTTCCAAACAGGCAGACAGGGAGTGAATCATGACAATGGCCTTGGTAATTGTGAAATCAAAAAAGAACCTCAAGGACTCTGCCTAGAATCAGCCATCCAGCAAGAAGGTCCTTGGTCATGGAGCTGACCAAGTACCAAACTGTTACCAACACAGTTTGTAAATGAGATATTTCAGCTTTGTTTTCTTTTTGTTTGTTTGTTCTTATTTTTAATAAATATGTAAAAATGTGAAAAATCATGTTTCAATTTGGGCAGCACAGCAGTTAGCGCTGTCACTAATAGCTAACAGGTTCCAAGTTTGAGTCCCAGCCAACCCGAGGCCTTTCTGTGTAGAGTTTGCATGTTCTCCTTGTGCCTGCGTGGGTTCACTTCGGGCACTCTGGCTTCCTCCCACAGTCCAAAGACATGCAGCTTTGGTTGACTGGTGGCTCTAAACTGCCTATAGGAGTGAGTGTGAGTGTGTATGGTAGTTTTCGTATATGTCAGCCCTGTGATAGACTGGCAACCTGTCCAGGGTGTATCCCCCTCTTGCCTAGTGTCAGTTGGGACGGGCTCCAGCCTCCCCGCGACCCTATTCAGGAATACGTGATACAGATAATGGATGGATGGATGTTTCATTTTGTCATTAATGGCTATTGAGTGGTTATATACAGTATTAATGAACAAAAATGAGAGTTTAATCCTCCTAAAATTAATTGGAAAGCACAATAAAATGTGCAAAAAGTGAAACTGTCTGAATATGGTCTTAAGCAACTGTACCTGAGCTGCATTATTGCTCTTAGCGAAGCCCAGTGGGGGGGCTCTGCTCTTGCTGAATTCCACTTCAGTCACTGTATCGATTGTACTTCCATGGATGTCTTTCTGCCGCTGCCTGGTAAAGTCAGAATGTGCAATGGCATTCATATTGACTGATGGATTAAGTAGGCAGTTGAAAAGACACGTATGAGTTTTGTTTGTGTACTTGTGCCTTTTGTTGTTATTGATTCTGCCTTGGCATGAATCCACGCATGGAACCAAGGGTGTTTTTTTGTTCTTAACGAAGTCCTTTATTATACACTAATCAGTTTACTATTACACATAGACACCAGTCAAAGCAAACACTTAAGTTGGTTTCTTGCTTAA